TTTCTGTTTGGAAGTGTGTTGATTATTGTACAGTCTCTTTGTTTTGCTGATTGTTTGTGGTATTGTTTTTGTATGTTGCCGGGCGCACACTGTGTTTTTCGGCAAGCTTTGGTGTTCAAACTGCCTGGTAATGATTTTATTATGATGAGAATACAGACACTTTGTGTGTATGAATACCGAGTGAGATATTGGGGTGTGTGTAGAGACGTTTATTCAATATTGTTTTGATACCATTTGTTTTCCACTTCTTCTAAATTCAAGGTGTTGTTTCAATATCTGTGTAACTCTGGGTGTGTTTTATTGTGTGAGTGGTTTATTGATGTTCCCTCATTGGGTTGTTGATTGATTGCTGTTGTGATGTGTATTCTCTCACTCTTACTTTCTGTGCTGCTGTGTATTCTGTCACTCTCTTTCTTTGTGTGGTGCCCTCTACCTTGTGTGTTAAATGTGCTTCTACTATTCTCCTTTTCTTCTTCTTCCTTGTTACCACAGATCCAAGCGACCCGGAGTGACAATCATGACAACGATGTTCGTCCAACTGCGTGGTGTGGTGTACCTGTTGGTACTTCTGCAGTTCTGTGTGTGTGTGTGCTTAGCAGGGGTAAGTGGAGCAAAAAGCGAAGTTGAACAGGCGGAGGGAGGACTAAAACGGTGGTTGGAGGATGTGGAGAAACAATTACCGGGGGCGAAGTCCTGTCAGAATGTATGGGAGGAGCACAATAAGAAATACAAGGAACAAGCAGACCGTGTCGTGAATCTCACCAAGGAAATGGAGGAGATTGTTAGGAAGACAAAGGAACTTGGGAAAAAATGGGAGCCGTCAGGAAGTAGTGTGGCGGAGCAGGCTGACGCGGAGGAAATGATTGCCTTTGTGGACACGGTAAGCAAAAACGTAAGCGAAAATAAGAAAGTAATTGCTGCGGCTCGATTAACAGTCGAGGAAGCAAGGAAGTTGGTTGATTGTACGACATTCCTTGGTAACTTGGAGGATCTGATAACGGATAATAAGAAAGAAAATCTTAATTACTGGAAGGGAGAACTCGAGGAGGAAATCAAAAAGAGTCTAACGATAGAGCGGCAGGAATCCATTCGGGAGCTCATTCGAAAAAGTAAAGAGACTGAAGATGATGTGGGAAAACTCGTGGATAAGCTTCGGCTAAACAAGGTACGCAGTGCAGGTTATTCGAGGGAAGTGATAATGAATCTGGGCAATGCGACGGATGCGGTGCAAACAGCAGTGGAAAAGTTCGAATCTTTGAAGGAGGAGGTCGAGAAAAAAAAAAGTGGATTTAAAGAAAAGGTGGATGAACTCAGAAAAACCAGGGTGTCTGTAACGGCGCGAAGGCAGATTTCCACTGTGGAGCCCAAGGTGAGTTCTAACGAAAGCGGAGAGTATCCGGCAAAGGAAGTGGAGTGGAAAGCCACTGCGGGTGGGAGTAGTGGGGCGAGTCCAGTCACCGGGGCAAGCGGTCGGGAATATGGTGTCCCATTGAACACCAATGAAATCGTGCAGAAACTGAACGAAGAAGTGGAGAAGGAAAAAAAGATCTTGGAACAGAAGAAAATCGAAGAAAAAAAAGCTCTTGAGGAAAAAATAAAGGCTGAAATAAGACGGAAGGAGGAAGAGGAGAGAGCAAGACTGGCTGCGGAAGAGGAGAGAGCTGCGAAGGAAAGAGCGAGGGTGGCCGAAGAAGAAAAGAAAGCTGCAGAAGAAAAGGCACGACAGGATGAAGAAAGGGCGAGAATGGAGGCGGAGAAAAAGGCCAAGGAAGAAAAGGCGAGACTGGAGGCGGAGAGATTGGCAAAAGAAAAGGCTAAGCAAAAGAAGAAAGACGGCAGCAGTCCTGCATTGGTGCACAGTTCCTTGATTCTTCTTGTCCTGTCTGTATTGGGTTGCACTCTCGTGTGCTGATCGGTGTTCCCATGACACAGTTTCACAGTTAACCTTTGTTTGAGTGGACATGAATGCATTGTAAGGGTACTGTTATTTTGGGTTTGATATCAGCCCTTCTTTTTTCTCTCCCAGCACGACGATTCTCTTGTTTGCACTTTTTTTGTTGAACACATCTGTTGGGCTCCCTGTGGCACTCATCACATGACAATCCATCATTTTGTGAGGGAAGTGTCCTCTTTGTTTGTTGGCATTATTATCTGGGCTCTGTTTTGCCACCATTTAGTCATTTACTGTGGTCTCCTGGTGATGTGTGTGTGTTCCGTGATATTACTAACTATTGCTTTTACCCATGGGAATGGGATACAATCTCGATGTGTTTTAATTACTGTGACTGAAATGTGAAGAATGGCAGGAGGTTCAAGACACACACGAACACGCACGCTACCAACCCTCCTCCTCTTTGTGTGGGTGGACTGTCATCATGTGTGCATCATTCCTGCTGGTTGCCCTGTACGAAAGACACACACACACACCTACTGCAGGGAATTGTGTTGGTTGCCTCCTGAACATATTCACATGGTGATCACGGCTTTTTCTTTTTTTATTTTGTTTTTCCCTTGTGTGTGTTTCATTATAATTTCGTTGCACATTGTGTGCAGCTATGTTTCTCTTTTGCGTTTCCGATACACCTTGTGTATCTTGTGTGTTCATTTTTATGGAATGATGTCTTTTTTTATTATATACAAACTGCTGCACGGACATCAAGAATAAAGATATGGGAACGGTATGTTCAGTACACAATGATTTTCCGTTGTTAACCTTGGGGTGGATTGGACTGTGTCCAGGCATCGCAGTAACAGCAAGTAATGAATTTCTTTTTTTTGTTTTTACGTCTTTGCTCTATTATTGTGTCTGCCTCACGCAGTCACTCTTTTTTTTACTACATTTTTATTTTGGTATAAAGATTGGTGGGTTGTGGGTGTTTGAGTGTGCCCCTCTGTTGTGTGTTCCTTTGTGTGTTTGGGTTGCTACTCACACCGCCCACATAATGAAAACACATTTCTTTGTTTTCACCTTCTCTCTCGGTGGTGTCACTCACGGCATTGCCACGGAGATATTTCTGCCCCTGTGTTGTGTGTTGTGTGGCTTGATTGAGTGACTGCAGCCTGCGGGGAGGTGGACTGAGACTGTTCCGCCTCGGCTTCACGTAATGGGTCTGTTTTTTCCTTGATTTTGGGGATTGTGTTTGGTTGATGTGCTGGTGTGGGTGAATGTTTTTCTCTGATGAGAGTGGCACCTGTGATTATTGTATTGTGGGTGCTTTGTGTGCTGTTGGTATCCTGTTGTTGTTGTTGTTCTTTTCTTGTGTTTTTCTTTTCCTCTACTGTAGGTGTGTGACTTAGTGTGCATTTTAGTGAATGCCGCAGTGCCTCTCTGATATGAGCATGTGAGACTGCCATTGCGTGTGTGTACACCGTGGATGGGAAGGACACCGTTGTGTTGCTGGACCGCTCCACTGCGGCGTCTGTGGGGTTTGTGTGTGAGTGGCATGCTTCGCTTCGGCGGGGCTCGAGGGGCACTTTACGTCCCGAGGCGCTGAACCTTGAGGCCTGAAATATCATGCTCAGGGACTTTGAACTTGATAGAAGAAGAAGAGTGAGGATGAGGAAAACAAAAAGGATG